CTGTCAGCAGCCCTTTCAGACATGGAGCTCATTATGTAAATGTTCCGTTGATTTTACATGTCGGGCTGCAGTCCCTTAGCCATACAGGTTATGAGGATGGTTTTATCTAACACATCTGAAATGAATGCCATCACATTAAAAAAGAGCAGTTGGGGGAAATTCTCCAAATTGTAACTTATTAACTTCACTATCGCGTTTGTCCAACATACTGAAAAACGACAAGCTGTTGTTGCACACACGCTGGTTTTTATACAGATTAAACAAACAAGATACCATGTTTGTAATTTGTGTTTGAGAGTTTCTGGTAGCAGATATTGTTATCTATGGAAAGAGCTCAGTTAGCTGTTTACACTACCTATGTCACCATGAGCTAACCTGCTGCTGGAGGTAGCTTCATATTTAACAGACAGGAAAGATGTTTCAATCATGTCATCTATCTTTTAGAAATAATTGTATTCCCTAAATTGTCCAACTATTGCTTTAAATCTTGTCCCTAGATATGTTCTTATTATAACTGGAGTTCTTTTTATTACTAGATTGTCTTTGATTGATGTCATTTCAATATAAAAATCACATTATTTGTTCTTTCTGACCTTTCATCAAGCAAAGCTGCCGATCATGTTGAGAATATAAGTTAATAATTGAACAAATTGACCCCCACCCCCCTTTAAACATGTTGGCTGTTGGCTTGAATAAAGTCTTATTTATAATATTATATTCGTTATCAAAACTCTTGAGAACGCCATCTTTTTTTAAATATAATGTGACTTATATATTTAGTTCTGTTCATCAACTGAAAGAAATGGACTAGATGACATTATATTTATGCCACACCAAACGAGTGTCTTCATTTTGACTTGAAATACTGCATTTTAAATGACTATCTTACTTTGTGAAAGGCTGACAAAACCAGTAAATCAACCATTTAAGTTTGTTATAGATTAGTGGAAATGGAATACACTTCCAAATGACCCTGTTCAACCTGCCAGGCCTGTTTGAACTTGTAAAACGACTCACAACTGGGGTTATCATACACAAGAGTCATTGTAAAATAAACAAACTGACACTCCCTTGTGACTTTCACTGGAGTCAAGAAATGTCTCATCCAATCCAAATAAAAACAGCTCACCTTTACGAACTCTGCAGTGAGCTTGCCGTTGAAAGTGGAGACCTCTCCTTGTACGCTCAGTTTACCACGTCTAATAGAGAAGGGTACTATCTCATCGTGAGCCGTACTGTGGCCCACACGCTCGAAGATGTCCAGGTCCTTCACCACCACATGGCCGTTTAGACGGACGTCAAACACCTAGGAAAAACATTTTCCCAAGTCAGGAAGGAAACACCCAGCTTAATCATTTGGCCATCAATAGAGTAAAGTTAGTCAACTGAAACTGTAGCTCGACTAGTATTCAAGGTTTTTCACCTTCAAAGTAATGTTAAAACAAATAGGGCTTTATCTCGGCAAACATTTTGACAGGTGTGAATAATAAATAAATAACGGATTCATCTCATTCCGCTACTTCAGTTTCAGGGTCCTAGTATTGCATGCAGGCTCGCTGCCATGCCTTACAGAGACTACTAAACAATAGAGACATTATTAATGTGGATAGGAACACCTGCACTCTTCCTATCTCAAGTTTTATTGTCAATTCAATGGCCCCATTTGATCCGACCACCCATGTAATTTCACTTATGCCTAATGTGGCTTCTTTTCAATACATGATTGACACCTCCCTCACTCCTTTGAAGGTTGGACAAATTACACCTAATCCTTTGAGTACAGGGGTGTGACAAAACTCTCAGCCTTGAAATTCACCTGATATTTCACAATTGAGTCTTAAATGTTTATAAATACTTACATAAACTGCATTATTATCCATCTACAGAAAAAATACTTTAAGGACTAATTGATCATCTAAATCTTTGGCACTTGTTAATTTATCGTTGCATCTTATATTGAAATGTATAAAACTGAAAATAATAACAGGCCTTCAAAGGTTCAATGCATACCTTTTCCATTCAAACTGTGCAGATGAAAATGACAAATGTATTAAACACAAAACAAACTGATTCATTTATTCCCATACCTTTTGCTGTGACTGGGCAAAGTAAACTTCAGCATACTTCATTACTAGTATATAGTCTCCTTCGTCACGAATGGGGATCTCATATCCAAAAGTGTCCTCATTGTAGCGCTCTGTCTGATACAGAATCTGGTCCTCTGGACTGGAGCGCAGTATTGGCAGGCGCAACCCATAATCAGACGCTACAAAAAGAAGAATTGCATCAGTGTTATAGTGCACTTTGATCACGAAGTCACATTAATATCTGTATAACTGGAAAACGGATCATGTTTTAAGTCAAGCATAGCACCACATTGTGCAAGCCCTGACCTTTTCATGCACTCAATGAAACACAGTGCCCTTCTGTCTCAAATGGCAAGTTACCACACTGTGTTCCCTTAAACTTGCATTTATAGGATTTCAGCTTAATAACTGGAGCTAGGAATGACTCTCTGCAGTCAATATCATATCATCACCTGCTTCCTCTCCATGCTGAGAGGGGCGGAGCGTACTCCTTTATGCTGACTCCTCGTTAGTTTGTGGTTATTTGCGGAAGCCAGACCATGCAGAGGTTTCTATTAGACATTTATGTTTCGGAGGAACATATTTTACCTTCACAATGTCATTCTAAGCAACACCTTTACAGGTGAAGCACAGCAAGACAAGCATACCTATATTAGCAGTTAACACCAACTCACCTTTGCCAAGTTTCCCTTCCAATGGGTCCTTCTTGAAGTGAATACCGTGCACGTCTACATGCGATTCACCCCCGGAATTCACAGCCCAGATCACCCGGTCGGCCAGGCTGAGGCCCCCGCCGTCCGCCCCGCACGGCTCCGCCAGTAGCGACAGGACCGCTGCAACCAGCCCGGCGACGAGCTGCGCCGTGACCCGCTGCATTGCCCCTCACAGCCCGGTCCTGGACACGGAGAAAGACAGTGTCGGTATCCGCTTGCCTGCAGCATAGACTCATCAAGGAAATAATCCTTCCACATTTAACATTAACCACATAAGGTTAGCTAGCGTAAAGAGCTAGCAAGCTTGTCTTGATGACATGCAACATGATATCTGAGTTAGCCAGCATGCTAACGTTAACAGTACCAATACCGGCTGTAGCACACACACACAAAGAAACCTATAAAACAACGCTGAATATACAAACAAGTATCTGATCTTATTGTTAACAAAATCATGATTTACCAGCTCTGATTTTAATTGGATAAACTACAATAAAATTATTCATTCGCAGCGATAACCGTGAATCGGTTAGGCTAGCTAGCTACCCTACCTGTCTAACCAGAAATACTTATGGGAAACCCCAGCTCATCAAATATCTCTCACCTTCCCCTTCCACAAATGCCTTGATCCTCTCCTGTTCCAATGTGTGAAATTATCTCTTCTGTTACAGTCTCACCATGAGCCTGGACACTGTAAGGTAACTTTACGGTGTGCAGATATTCTCAGTTGCTGGTGGCAACAGCCTGCTACACTGACTTTCATTCAATGTGTGCATCCGACCAGCATTCGCTCTGTAGCATCAACTGCAAGTCAAGCCCCCAGGAAGTGCGCCGGACTTTTAAAGCAGGTTTTCGTAGTGGCCAAATGGCGGAACTACAACTTCCGTATCAGTCAGTGACGTCCAAATAACTTTATCCCATTGACTTACATTGGGAAATGGACGTCTTTAAATTAGTGTATGATTTTTCCTTAGCTTAATACATGACCCGGTAGGAACAATTGTATTGACCTCATTTGAATCATTAGAGTCTTACATTTTTAAAATGCGTTTAAAGCCAAACACATTGTTATTTCTCCTGCCCATTAATTTGACTGAGCAGAGAGCTGGAGATCGGAGACGGGGCTTAAGGGAAAGCTAAACTGCGCATGCTCTATGGGCCGACATACGGGTACTTTTGCTCTCGAGATGCAGGCCATATGGGCTTCAGGCGCCACTGAGAAACTCATAGGATTTAACGGAGTCCCGCCTCCAACGCTGTATCCACTTCTCTTTATGCATCTATGCTGCAAGTGTACAGGAGGCGGAGCAGTGCTACCTAACCTGAGCTTTCCCATGACCGATGAGTGACACGGACTGTGTCCAATCACATCCTCCTGCTAAGATTTCCTGAACCATTAAAACATAATCATATCACAGCCCAATTACGTCTTAGTGAATTATACAAATGACGACTTAAAGGCTTTAATAGAGAAATGCATTTGATGTAACTTGCACGGTGGTATACAAATATATTTATATATAATAACATTGATCGACAGAAGCGTAAAGACTGAAACCCCCTGTGTCTTTTTTTCACGTCAAGCCATGATTTGATGAGTTTAAAGCCCTGAGTTTAGCCTCTCAGGCAGCATCGTCATCAATTGTGTGCACAATCCCTTCAAGCAAATAATAAGAGACTAAACAACGAAAAACAACGTTTACATAGTGTATCTAAATTAGATTAATAAAACATGTTGAATACAATTTAAAAAAATGAAGAACTAATGCCAGGACCAAACACTTACTGAACGTAATGAAACCACCACCATATGCAAATAAAGATAATAAGAAAGGTATTTTACAGTGTCTTTTACATTTGTAATTCAATTATTCATAGTCGTCTTACGTTGTAGCAAAGTCCTTGCCTTTGCACCGAAATTAAATAATCAACCTAAATTTGACTATTCCTAGTCGGTTACCAGTTCTTCTCTCACTGGCAACCAAAGGTCAAATATATTCAATGATATATTTCCTACAATATTATTTGAGGGACTGAAAAGCATAAATAGGTATTTCGTTGTAAATATAGAACCACAATAATACCATGGATGTATAATAAGAACACGGGTTCTTTAAGAAATATTCACGCCCCCCTTCTTCCGGTATGGTATGGTCCGGCCCTTGTCCAATCACAAGAGTCCAACGCAGCGCGCACACGGTCCACTTCCACTCCAGATATGACCAGCCAGTAATGAATGAAGAAAGTTGCTATGGCAACAGCAATACCTCGATGCATGTGTGACCGGAGGTCTTCTTCCTCTGTGACGCTGCTTGGCGCATCACACTCTCTACCAGACAGGTAAAGCATCTTGCATTCTGTCATTTATTCATGGCGACAAGCAACACCCGGCTTGACACTACTGTCTTAGCGCAGCTGACGTTCGGTGCTTTTGAGGAGGATTTGCTCCGCCGGAGGCTCCCTGGTCTTGCAGTGTTGCAACTATTGGTGAGTTGCCGTTGTCTGCCGTTTTCTCACCTTCAGCTTGGTTCCTCTGGTGTATTGACTGTCATTCATGTCACAGTGGGATTGTTGAGTCTCTCTCTCCCTTCCTTGTGGGCTCTGTGGCTGCGAGTGGCCACACAGGCTGGTATGTATGAGTTCCCCCATAGATAACTTTTCATTTAATAAACTTAAGTATTCAGTCATTTTAAACCTCTTTCCAGGGGTGCTGTAAACATTCTCCCTTCTTGGTGGGCTTTCGCACCGAGCTGTGGTGTCATAAAATTGACCGGCCCTGACTACTCCGTGTTGGACTGTCACCAGGGCCGTTTTGAGATCACGGAATAGCAAGGACACTTATTGTTTTAGTTGATTCATTTTGATTATCTGTTTGTTTTGTGCATCTAATGTTTTGAGTACATTTATAGTATTTTGTTAATTGTGTGATTTTGTTTATTTTCTTTTGTTAACGTTTGGTTTAATTAGTTTACTCCAGTGGCGAGCCGTCAGGGCCCTCTGTGAGGGCCTAAGATATTTTACAAAATAATATTTAAAAACATTAAAAAATATATATA